ACCAAAAATTACAGCTTCATATATTATAGATAAGACTAACTAAACGTTGACAAAAAATTTATGAAATAATAAACTATACAAAATTTTAACTTTCATACAAATAATTCTATAGCTTCTGCTATTTTCTATTATATTATGTGTTATAATATAGTAGCAGTGTAGCAGTTATAATACAGTATGGACTGTTGAAAAACATAAATTACGAAATTTAGCAATCACTGCTATTATTTACACTGAATAGCAGTCGCAGACTGCTATTCTGCCGTGCTAAGCGAAAAAAGGATAACTCCAGTCAACGTGATTTTTCAGGAGCGCAAAAAAACATTTTTAACAGTAAATCAAAATACCCTTTTTTCCCAATGTATGAACATAAGCCAAAAGACGGTAACTCCATTATTTTTTATGTAATATACCAAGTTTTTGTTTAGTATTTGGATTTACCGTGTTTTCGCTTACAAGACATCAAATATATTGAACTTACTGTATATTTTCTTATTTTATATTTCAATTTTAGATGGGTTTTAATAGGAAATATGCTATTTTTACATCAAAAATCGGCGTAAAACCACTAAATTTATTTATAGAAACAAAAAATTTTTTTTTTTAATTTTGAAGTTATCCTGTTTTTGCTTAGCATGGCAGTATTGTAAAATAGCAGTGCTATTATAGCTGCTACTGCTATTTTTATCATCACTATGCTGTTTGTATTCTAGGGGTACGATATAAGGGAATACAAATACAGGTAGCTAAATGGTTTTTTATGCCTATATTCGCAGGTATATAACCTATATTATCAAGGGTCACAAGATACATTGTTGTGAGTTTATAAACACACTAACTGTCAATACAGAAATTATATCCATTGCTATTCATGTGCTACATATAACTTTATATGATAAAAGTTATCATATCAAATCTAATTCGACAATAAATACTTTAAAAATATTAGAAATTAATGATTTTAATTGTTTGTATGGAAAAAGCTGGTTAAGCTACTTTTTATCTGAATAAGGAATTTTTTAAGGGTAATATCTTCAACTAAATATGAATTGTAATAATTTGACGTATCGTTGAAAAAAGTAGGTCGAGTGAGTGTTGGCAAAATGAATCGTAGCCACCAAAAAAACCACATAGTAAAATAATATTAACTTGAATAAGAAATTTCTTTTCACGAGGGGAGACTATAGTGATGGGATCCTTGATATTTATTGAAGTTATTGAATCTAAATGAGATAAAAATCAAATGATTTGAAAATTTTTTTCTAACTCAAAAAAAATGCAAAATGTTATTAGCCACTGACGGAATTCGAACGTCGTACCCTAAGCGTGAAAGACAAAAGTGTTACCAATTCGGTATCTGTTCGTCGCTTCTGTTGCATGACAAAATTAGCAATTTAAGCTAAATCAAATTAAAAAGGTAATTTTTCAACTTTAAAAAAGAAAAAAAAAATTAAATAAGTTTAATTTCTTATGTCTTATGAACTTTATTCTATGGCAAATTATATAATATTCATGAAAGTCAATGTATTCCCCTAATAAGATATTTTAAAATAAAATAAAATACAAAACCCATAATTATCATACAAAAATAGTATATTTTTCAATATGGTAGCCATTTGCGCATAGAAGATAGGTCGTCGGGACAAATTTTTTTTTTTTAATTTTATAGTACGTGACATAAGCTTTAATTTGATATATGTTTAGAAGACGCAGTATTTCCGGAACATTTTCAAAAGTTAATTTTTGTATAAAAGTTGCTATTTTAAATCCCCCTCTGTGAGCAGAATAAGTGTTAGATTTTCAAAAAAAATGATATCAAATGAAAGGAAATTACCTAAGGTTTCAACATAAATAAATATTATTTTGATTTGTTAATATTTGAAAAAGTTATAGCAGTTTTAAGTATAACAAACATCCCGATAGAAGATGATTTTTATCGCAAAAATTACATTTTTTTTTTAATTTCGACAGCCATTTGCACATAGATGATAAGGTATCGGGACAAATTTTTTTTTTTCATTTTATATTACATGACATAACTTTTGATTTGATATATGTTTAAAGGACGCAGTATTTCCGGAACATTTTCAAAAGTTAAGTTGAACAAGTTCTATTTTTTATACAATGTTTCATGTTTTGAACGCTCCCTATATAAGGGGAAATTGTCCAATTTTAATAAAAAGTATGTCAAATGAAAGATGTACTTATAATGTATTTAGAAAAAAAAATTTGTGCTGATATATACATTTTTCAAAAAGTTATAGCATTTTTAAGTTGAAAATTTAAAATCGAAAATTTTAACACAAAAATAGCGTTTTTTAACTAAGGCAGCCGTTTACATGCAGAGATAAAGTGTCGGGACAAATTTTTTTTTCATTTTATAGTACATAAAATAATCTTTAATTTGATATATGTTTATGTATAAGTATATATATATATATATATGTATAAGGACGCAGTATTTTCGGAACATTTTCAAAAATTAAGTTGAAAAAGTTAGTTTTTGTAAAAAAATTGTTATTTTCAATCACCCCCAGTGAGCAGGTTAAGTGTTAAATTTTCAAAAAAATGATATCAAATGAAAGGGAAATATCTAAGATTTTAGTATAAAAAAAAATTATGTTGATTTGTTGATTTTTGAAAGTTATGGAAGTTTTAAAAAAAAAAAGAGAAAAAAATGACAAAATATACCGATTTTTAAATTTGTAATTTTTTTGGAAATTTCATCCATTTGCGGGGAACGAGGGAAAATTTTTCAA